AGTAAAAGCGTCACCATTTCATCGACAAATCATATCTAACTGTGTCATCGTGTAATTAGGTGAAGCCAAATTTGACACGTTTTGCTTTCAGAGGAACCGGATGTCAGCAAATGCAAACATTGAGGCGGTTTAGCATCACACCTTTTTTTCAAATTAGGTGGAAAAAGAAAATCTGACCATAATCCATGTTAAAATAACCTCATATGAGCCAAAGAGCATAGACACAAACAATATCAGGTGGCTGGAAAACAGAACGGAACCACTGGTGCAAGGAAGGAAACAATTAAAGCCGTAAAGTTTGTGTTGAGAGTTTAGGGCTGTGCTGTTGGAGGAGCTAACAACTGAGGCACCACGCATGCAGCCTGGCCTTGGGCCATGGAGCCACATGCAAGTGAAAAATCTACTGCGCCACAGTGGAGACGAGAGACAGGCGAACCTTTCAAGGAGGACTTCTCCTAAAATGGAGGCCTGCATATTGCGCAGTTTTAAAGAAGTGCATCTTAAATTCACCAAGACATCGAATGCAAGTCTTTGCTACAAGCTAATGGAATGTGGCATTTTGAGATGGTTCTGAACCACAAGGTTCACTTCTACTCACTTTCTATTCAAAGCACAAACAGAAAATTAGCCGTGACAATGGTCAAGTCTTTTCAACAGAAAAAAATTATAACCTGGCCTGCAAGCTGAATTCTCGCCGTATTTGTGAGTTCACCAAACCCCGTGAATCCATCTTGCCCTGTGCCCGCTGATTTTCTCGGAGCGGCATCGCTGGTGGAGTGGACGAATAACAAAGCAACAGTGTGTTTGGCCGCGGGATATGCGGCTGTGACCAAAACTTTTCTCCGTTGACAATCGGCTTGATTCAAAAATCAATGTGTTATTTACGAACATCCTTATCCACATATTTACGTTGCAAAAACGACACCGATCATTCAACGCGACGATTCCATCTGTGCCAGTCATCGAGAAAACAGGATTCAGTTGGTCAAATCAAATCACGTGCCGTGACGACATTGTCATCCGTTGCTGGCATTGGTCAAAACAAAAGTTTGGTAGGCTTGAACAAGTTGCCTCAATGCCCAATTTGCCCTAAGGATTGTAACGAAGGTCCCATCTTTTCCAAGCAGACTGCTTTGGAGCAGCCCCAGATTGATACTGTACAATTCGCATTAATCTGACGCTTTCCAGAAAAATGCTCCAGGGATAAACTTTTTGAAGTACCATTTTAGCATTCTTACCTGCCTTGCAATCGTGAAAAGTAAGCCACTGCAGGTAAAGCTAAATTGTGGTTTCCGATTGCATCCCCGCTATATAAAAAAAAATAAAATAAAATAAAAAAATTTAAACTTCTGCACATGATTCTGTCCTAGAATCAGGTGCATCCTTAGATAAATAGATCATTCAATTCTACAGTGAAACTCTACAACGAAACCTACATGGGCGAAAATACCCCCTAGTGTGAAAAAATCTTCATGCATTAACACCATTCCCACTTTCCTGCCCCCCATACAACGAAAAAAAAACCCTGTTGAGTTATACGAAATCTTTTTCTCTGCTCTTGCAATGAGATTCATTACAATGAAGTCTAATCCAACAGCGACCGCTACTGCTTCGTTCGGAAACGGCAACAGCAAGCACCACACTGGTGGAAGTATTTGTGATTGTTATTGTTAGTTTCAGACGCAGCAAGAACGTTGCATTGCTAAAATGGCTACAAAACGGACCTTTGGATGTCAAGCAGCTAAGACAAGAAGAGCTCTGATGCTGGAAGAGAGGGTAAAAGTAATCAAAATTAAAGACGGAGGAAGCAAAATAAAACATTATCCAAGAAATTGATGTAAGTGAAAGTGAATGCTGATCGTAAATTTCGCAATTTCTTTCCCTTTTTTTTCTTCCTACACTGACTATGTGAAGTGTCAAATAAGTGCATGCTCATATTTATGGCCTATTGCAGGGGTGTCAAAGTCAAATGGACGGAGGGCCAGATAAAAATTTTTGCTGCAAGCCGAGGGCCGGACTGATCGAATGTTCATTGAAAAATTTAAAAATAACCACATATTGTTTATTGAACCAAATTTAATTGACTGAAAACCTAACAAATACATTCCAATACGGTCAGATAAATAAAGCAACATTTTTTTATGGCTAAGTCAGTAAACTTTAATTTTCAACAGGCAAAAAAAAATTTCCTTTGTATAAAAATACCCATAACATGAATGAAAAAAGCCGATATTATTCAAGGCACTATCACTAGTCCATATTTTCTCTTTTAGCAAAAGTAGGCTAAATTTACT